CACCAAGGTCAGATTTGTAAGCGTTTCTCGCCAGCAATAGCCACGCCGTTGCGTCAAAACATATGTGCCTTTTTCTCTGGGCTACCAAAGTCACAATCACGGGACTACAATTATTCAGCTGAATAAACAGCTGTTACGCGTGCATCCTAAGTAATCCACAATGCTATGTTTGGTGCTGACGCAACTTCTGTTGTGCAAGTTGTGGGGTCTCAAATTGGCACCTTCTTGGAGTGAACGGACACAGCAGACGCAGTCAGTCCATACCAAACAACAACTTACGTTTATTTAACTACTTTTTGATCTACGATATCGTCAGCCAAATTATTATAACATCAATTGTAATCAGCACACTAAACAACCTTACACATAATTACACAACACTAAACAGCATGACAAACAAGGCGGTGTCGCTAACGCCTGGCTCATCACGTGGGCCCACCGCAGACAGCCCGTGGTGCCATCCACAGCAGACCCACCGTTGGAGGCAACCGTCCGCGCCACCGCCGCACGCCAAAAAAGACTCGCTCAACTCTCTCGCCCGCCACCAAGGCTTGTCTTTTGCCAGGAGTCACTGCCGGGGCTACCACTTTATCAACCATGATGATGATAGTGGTGATCACCGCTCGCGAACATGCCACCTATCGCTCAATAGTTATCACTCCCGAAATACTTCTGTGCGAGACACGTTCGCAACGCGGCGCAAACAACTTTACAGGGGGTGTCGGCACTCTCACAAAGTTCACTTTACGGCAAAACACACTCTCTGCAGTGGCACGTGACGTCTAGTCCAATTGGTAGTGAAACTGTGGCACTGATTCATTGGCAAACATTGTCCAGGAACGCTGCTGATAGCTCATTTGAAGAGTTGCACGGCACGTGATTGAAGTGATTTTTGCTAATAACATCACGCGTGCTGCCAGCATCTTTGTCACGTCTGCTTCTGGACATTGCAATCTAATTGTCTGTGGTTCGCGTCCACAGAGGAACACGTCAGTGGTGGGAATGCATTGGCACTCTTCCACTAGTATACTCAATTCCCGGAGATTTATTCAGAAAAACTTTTTCGTAGAGCCTTCCACCAGCACATCCGCGTTAGTAATCACTATTGCAGTAAAAGCCCTCAAAAGGCCCTGCCCTTTCGAACTCAAGATTGCTAGGGTCGAAATCCAAAATTTTCGCATGCTTTATTTTAAAATGCACATACGAATGAACCTCCAAAAGGCTGCGACTATGGTGTGGCCACCTTGTGATCAAGGCTCAGTGCACACCCCTGTATTGCTTCTCTAGAAAGCGAAGCACTTTTGCCCAGTCAGTTCACATTGACAGTACAAGGTAGAAGGGTAGAATAGCGAGGGCTGCAGCGATCCCACCCTTAAAATTTAAGTTCATAATACAGCATTCCCCCCCCCCCCTCCTTTCGGCCCTAGTTCCTTCTTGCTCCTTGAAGACTGGTGGCGCATTCCTCGCTGCTTGAGTAACAATCGATGGCAGGCTTGACACGCAGGGGTATGCTATCGCATTCATCGTCCATCTTTTTTCATCTTTGCTTTAGCCGCGTTTGTCGCCACCGCTCGGGCGCTTTTACACGCGCGTAAAACACGATACATGGGAGTATGTTATTAATTAATACAGTACACAAAACATGATGGGGGCACATTTGGAAAGGCCCCCGCCCCTCAAATTTTTTTTCACCATGGCATGTATAGCACAAAATTACCATTTGCCTTCAAATCAAGGGGTCCTCCCCGCCCCCCTAATAAGAAAAATGTTTTTGCCTGTGCGCCTGGCGATGGCAAAAATCGGTCGAGAATGTTCATACAATTTCTATAGCAATGAAAACAAAATGGCTCTTGCCTTCAAATGTCCGAGGCGAATGCATAAGGTACTCCTTAAGGGTTTTATTTGTGCTGCTTTCTAGAAGACAATATAGGGTGTTTTTTTTAAGTAGACAGAACGCCCTAGCTACATGAAACACCGCTGCTAAAGGAAAATAAAGTTTGTCAAATCGTTTAGTTTCAGCACCGAGATACAAGTGCCGGAGCAGATTGGCTTTATGAGACTAGCTAAATGACGTCATGTTATGCCTAGTAGTATAATCAGTTGTTAATAAAAAAACCTTTTTTATTCTTGAATTCATCCTGGAGAAAGGCAGTTGGGACTGTGTGAGTCTCTAGTGTTCTAAGTCACAGCATCTGCCTACCAAATCTTCTGATAACCATATGGGTGTATTTAGAGTGCTATTTTATGAATTACTATTTTATTCAACCAGTATTCTGTTTATTTGCTACGAAAATAATCACTGAACAAGTTTCCCGAGAATGCTCAATAGCATTACAACATTATTTTTGTATCATCAACTGAAATAGGGAGTACTCCTAAGGTGGTCTTGCTGCATGTGATTAGCAATGAATCAAAATATTTCTAGCACTTCACAGGAGCCCAAAGATAATTTTTCATGTCCTTGAATGTAAATGCAACTTGCTTCTCCTTCTAGTTTGTTGCTTCGGATTGCGTTAAAATAAAAAATTTTGCTGCTTCGAAGTGCTTCAATTATGAAATTTTTCTGCCCCAAAGCTTTTTAAAATGGAAAGTATTGCTGGTCCAAGCTGCTCCAAAATGCAAATTTTGCTGCTCCGAAAATTGCTCCAAATCAGCAGACCTCGGTGGCATCACTGACTGGTGTTGAAGGGACACTAAAAGCAACTATAAAGTAAACGTTGATTGTTGAAATAGCGGTCCAGGAACCTCATAGTGTTACTTTTGTGCCACAGAAGGTCATATTTTCAAATAAAATCACATTTTAGTGGCCTGGATCGGGTGTGCGCACTTGAAATTACCCTCCTCAAGAAGCGGTCCCACTCGCGTTACTGTTGCCATGCACTAATGTTGCCCGGCTTTACTGCACAGTTGCCGACACTAGTAGACAGAACGAAAGCAGCGAGAGCCACAGTAACAACAACTGCCATTGATTTTCTGCCATTGGCTCAGAGATTGCAGACGTGTTTTGGCTCAACTGGGCCCCACTAGATGACACATGTCCACTATAACCACGTGAAAATTGAATTTTTGAAACCACTCGCGCCATTTTCCTTAGTAACGTCCGGCGATTTTTTTTTTCATTAATTAAACAGAAACAAACAAGCAGCACTTTATCGTGTCTCTTGATGCAAGGAAGGATCTTTATTCAGTGCAGTTAGATTACTAAAAATTAATTGTAGGCACTATAGTGCCGTCGTTGGTAAGTATCAAATACGTCGTCGGTATCATTTTGAGAATGTGCTACTGGGGTGCATGTATTCTTGTGCATTTACCTTAATTTCTCTGTAAGTTGGTAATATTGTTGTTTTATAAGTTGTCATACATAAAGCTTTCACTCTGATGTAAATTTTTATTTGACTTTAGTTGCCCCTTCACGAGGAGCCCTTCGCGTAGCGTGCGCAATAATGTGCTTGCACGTTTCAGGGGCACCTCATGTAGCAGGCTATAGTGGGGGCACTCCGAACAGTGCATCGATTTGGCTGACTGCTTGCAAAGATTGGAGACCTAACTGGTGCCAGCTTAGAACTAGGTCTGAATTTTTATGAAACCAAGTTCACCATCTCCATAAAACTTTTGTGAACGTCATCAGTTTTGCATGAGTGGAAAACTGAAGCCTTGTCTAGAATGCAAAGAAGTTGCCAAAAAGTATGTTTCACCTGGGGAAAAAGTACTTAGTAAAATTATGAAAAGGAAATTTTTTGTGCGTGGCACACTATAGTGATTCAGATGTTGTAAATATGAATTCGGTTGAGTAAAATAAACAAATTTGTAAATAGTATGCTGGACCAAATGCCCATAGCTGTGAATTACTGTTACCCTGACTGCTTATAGGTAAAAAAAAATTCTTGTAGCTCTTACAACTGCTTTGCACGACAACAATCTTATTCAACTCTCCGCTTCTTGAGTAAGTTTCACCTCAAAAAGACGTTTTTTTTTTCAACTCGTGTTAGTTGAGTGTCTGGATTGAAAGTAGTTGCATTCATTCTATAGCATACTTCGTTCCATTTCTGATGTGCTACTATGTTTGGATGTAGAAACAGTGCAAGTATACACACAGACGGAAGAAGAGACAACAAGGTGCTGAACTCGCAACTAAATTTATTACAATGAACACACATATATCAGGTAGAAGACCTGGTCACATGGCACACCATTGTGACTGTGTAGCAGAGCAAACAGGGTACACAGAAGAATCTACTCTAAAGAAAAATCGACACATGCGTAAATACAAAAAAAAAAAGAAAAGTGAAAAAGAAATAATGACCACACCTATTCGCGGAAACATGCGTGATAGTAAAAAAAATACTAACATTCGCTTTAACCTGATAGCGCTGAACCCAGGCATCCAACCTCCTTTCCACGAAGTGCCACAGATGACTTGCTCACGCATCTTTTCCCCTCTCTTTCATTGTAAAAAGCCTCTCTAATAGAGTACATTTGTCCCGGTGGCCAAACAAACAATTGCTTCCGTCCACCAATGGCTGGCAGCCACACTTCCTGCAATGAGCTGGCAAGTGCAGACCGCCAGAAATTGTCAAAGAGGCTAAGTGTTCTTTAAGTCTAACAAGTTCTATGTCCAAGTATGAACCACCAACTAGCCCAATTTTTGCTTCTAGTGCTGTTATGCGCCTCTGTGTGTCACGTTTGCAACCAGCAGTGTTACATTGCACTCAGGAGCATGGTAAGAGACAGCATGTTGACACACCACCTGTAGGAGTCCTGTAGAACTGGTGAACAGTTCTGAGAATATCTAGCCAATGATGGACAATAATGCATTGTGCCAAAGCTATTCACACATCAGCTTTCTAGGAGTGTAGTTGTGCTATGCAGTTGCATGAAGTCACCATGCTGGCATTTGTTTCTTCTGTGATGTTTTGTTTGGGTAGGATAAGCATTTCAATAAAGTTTGATTACTATGCTAAATGTAAACTATTACTGCTATATTATTGTTTTTCCTGCAGAGGATGACATCCCCTTGGAGCCAGCTGTGGGATCTTACCTACCCTATCACTGCCTGGTTCACTGGTGAATACTTATTTTCTGTATCTCTGGTAGAATAACAGAGAGTTGAACTAGTTAATAGGTATTCATGTTGGAGACAGGGCATGCAAACACGGCCGTAAGAGAGGCCAAGACGCCAGAAACTCTAGCAACTGAAAAAGGCGCATAACACCAGAAAATAAAAACACAAAAAAGCTTTTCTGTCCATGCCCAGTAAAGAGGTGATACCTATCAGTCTAGCACGTCGGAGAAGTATTTGTCTACCTACTTTGTCGCTGCTGTGCCTCTTTTTCATTTGTTAGTCTGTATTTGTGGCATCCTGACTTCTCTCATTTATCCGTGTTGGCATGCACTGTCTATTAACACAAATAGTTTTTTTTTAGACAGTACAGATTTTTAAATAAAAATCCTATGACTGTGAGGTTTCTGCCATTTATGCACATGAACTTCACGTTGAGGTGGAAATACCTTGCCCAACTAAATGACACTGGCAACAAATTGCAACTTTAAATTCAGTCGAACACTGATACATCAAACTCGAAGGGGATCGCGAATGAGTTCAATAGATAAAAAATCCTATATAAAAAAAATAGAGGCCCCGAAAGCTTACCTGTAGCGGATCATTACCTACAATAGGTGCATTGAAGAATGACAACTAATTCGGCACACACGCCGTAACAGAATTATTTATTTGGGGGGGTGGGGGGGACACTAACCATGGCTTGCTTCTTCGTTTTTTGAAATATTGAAGACGCTACCTCGATCTTATCACCGCTCGTCATTATCTTCACTGGTTTCCCCAAGTTCCGCAGTCACGAAGCCTGTCTTGCGGGAGCCATTGACCACTGTGTCCATCTTCATGTCTCACCAGGCATTGAAGATCTTCGCGAGAGAAAACTTCGTGGGGATTTTTGGCCACTCCTTGGTCATCCACTGCTGGATGTCCTGGCTGCTGAAGAAATGGTTTTCCCAACGATGTTGTAGTGTTGCTTGAATCGGTGAAGCCACCGGCCGTTGTCGGTGAAGTTGTTTTACTGAGTACAGCGGCAAACCATTTGGCCTTGGCGATCAGCATCGGGCCACCCACCGGAATGTTCTTCGCACGCACTTCTAAAAACCAGGCAGTGCCTTTTCTACATTACCGTGGGCAGAAGGGCGCACATGACAGGCTCCCAGCATTTGCTGCTCCGCTACCTTTGCCTTGATATCTTGCCTTGTTTTTCAACAAGGTACTCGGAGTGCTCTGTGGTATCTCGAAGTCATCTGCGACGGTCTCAACACGCTCAATAGCCTTCAACTTCATCGCAAAGTCAAAGATCTTGGGCTTCTTGACGCTCTTGAGCTTGAGCTTCTTGAAGATCTTGAGCTTCTTGAAGTCGACAATTCAAAAATTCCGCAGTGGCTTTGCACACCACGCACGCAAAAGAGAAATGCTGCACATGCGGTGGTACATAGACGACGCGACAGCTCAAGAGCTAGAAAGTGCTTGTGAGACGATGGCTGCCTGCGAGTGCTGTAGCGCCCTTCCAGCTCGCGCAGCGTTCGATATATCCGAAGGCGGGTAAAAATACTGTTCGTTATAAACATGTGAATTTCTATACTTTTTACAAAGGAATTTCAAGGGGATAACTTGCGAGTTTGATATACCCTGAAATTCTATATATGTGGGTTCGATGTAACCGTGTTCGACTGTAATTGACTTTGACTTCAGGGCTGGTGTTTATATTACAAAGTTTTAGTGTGTACCGATGTATAGCATACTCATATTTCAGAAATCATGAAAATTGAATGTAGTTAAAGATATTCTTCATAGTATTCTAAGACTGATGGTGGAACTGATTGCACTTGGAACACATGAATTATGACCACTCAGTTATGTCAGACCGGCATTACTCATGACTAAGAAAATACGAAATTTCGTAACAGCCGAATCGCCTAACTTTTGCATGTGGTGTTTGGTGCTTATCTGTTTCTTTCAAGCTGTGCGTTAAAAAAATGTGATATCAATTTCTTTTTTTCTCTGCGAAGACAGAAACTAAAAGGCAGCTGCTGCGAAACTTCTTGCAAGCAGGCGAGTAGGTTCTTTGCTCCTGTGTGTATTTTAAGAGAGAAACTAATAAGCACCACACATTTCACATAAACGGTAAGCTGCTTACTAGTCTATTTGATAATGCCTGCAGATTTTGAAATCTGCAAGCATTTCGATTTTCTAGGCCACGACAGTTGAATATGATGAAATAACTTGTTCCCACTCCTTCTGTGTTCACAAGTAGATGATTATTTAGAAAATAATTCTGCTTTAGTTTGGCAGCTGCAAGCGGAAACTGAATCATAAGATTACGATAGTGGGCTGCACTCGTCGCCACATAGCAGACATTCACAGGCTTTGCTTATCGCCACTTTGGATCTTGTGATGAAAACTGTCGCAGAACGGCTTTTTGTACTCATGATACCGGATGGCGTACGTACTTTGACCAAGCACAGTGCTTGTCGATTTATCACCATTTTCTTTATTTTCTGTTGTAAACAATTGTATCTCTTTTTCTGGAAGCCCCAATACTTTGAATAGTAAAATTCTGGTGGTAATTAAATAGCAAACACGATTCAAAAAATATTTTAAAGTTAAATATTCTCACACCTCTAGTTAAAATGTTTATTTAATCTTGCAATTTGGTGATATTCTTCAAGGGGCCCTGCAATACTTGAAGTAATCATTGAATGGCTTTATTGAAGAAGACTTTTGGGCTCAGCGCTGTGGCATCATTGAATGATCATTAAAGGAATGCATTGTCTCGTGAATCTATTGCTGCAAAAAATTCCTAGAATCTACTCTTATTGAGTGGTGTTCAAGATTTATCATACGCTTTAGGCACTTTCTCTTTTCTTTTGTACCTGAAAAGTCCTGAAAGCTACGTTGGGAGGGGGGGAGAGGTGAAGGGAGTGCAGGAAGGAGGGATAACAAAGGGTGCAAGAAGCTGCACTCATTTGTAAGCACTTTTCATAACATTGAGCGCTTTTTTCTCTTTACAGCAGTACTCATAGGCGCCCATTTCTGCATTGAGTGGGGTCGTCATTGTTGGCTGGTGTAGGCGCAATTAATAGAGCATATAAAAACGAGATAGAGCAAACGAGTATGAAAAAGCAAACACAGGGTCTTTTGATATTATGAGCCACTGGCCTCTAACCTCGCTTTCATTCTCCATCATGCATGCTGGCCCCTTGGTTGCAGCCCGTGTGCATGTACGGCTGGCACGTGCACTGTGGCTGGCTTTGCTCGTCATAACGGAGCTGTCCGTGTTTCAGAACTTGATTCGCAATGCCTGCAGTGCACAGAGTGGTGCGCGTAACATTTGAGGGCTATCAGCGTTTTGCTTCCTTCGCGTTGCCTGCTATGCACAGAGTGGTGTGCATAGCACATCAGTGCCGGCAGTGTCTGTGACAATATGTGACGAATGGTATACTGCTACAATTATTGATAGCTGAAACATCAAACGTAGTTGGTGTTGCCCCAACATGAACCTGCGCTCTGAGTTCGCATTAGTATTGTAATCATCGGTGAATTTCTTAGAATGTCTGACTTACTTTCTATACAGTCGCGATGCTTATGCTTATACAGTCGCGATGCTTGAGCTTATGATGCTCAAATGAACCAGTGTGACTACGTACTTTGTATTTATGACGCAGTCATTTGGGCTTATGGCTTCAATTGTTGAGAAAAAAGCGAGCTATTTATAGCTGACTTTGAGAATTAATTGTAAATTCCAGGATGCATGCCGCATTGTAATGTTTGGCTTAAATGTTCTTGGGAGCCTCGACTACCAATGTGCAGCATTTTTCTAACCATGCTGATAAAGTGTTGCAGAATCCCTTGAAATGCATGTTTTGTCTGTCATAGCTCAACAAATAAAACAAAATGGGCATCACTTGACTCCATCTTGATAATTTTCTCATATCACTGTGGAGGCTATAAAGGTTACTGGCTAAAATGGCAAGTTAACTTGAATAAGCTCGAAATGCCTTGTTTTTTTTTTTTTGTGCATATAAAAGGATAACAGAGCTGGAAATAGCATGCCTTGTTGGTTTTGTTCCTTGAACAAGAAAGTTCTCTCTTGTGGTGAGGTCTTTCTTTCTTACCCATGCTGCTTGCTGAACTACACTTTTACAGATTGCAGCTAGTGGTACCGAGCAACAATATAAATATTCACATTGATGTACTGATGCTGGAGTACCTTATAGACAGGTCTCGAAATTTCAGGTAGCCAAATTTTACCTCTTTGTGGTGGGTCACGAGCTCACTGATAATGAATGTGCATTGTTTTTTCATAAACTCTTCGAACAATTGCACAGTATTTCATCAAATGAAATGGGTAGCAATTGGGACTTGTTTATGAAATTATGGTCGGATAAAACTTTAGAATTCTGCTTCATTTTCTCCTCAAAGGTGGATGCACATGAGTCTGCCACAACGGGTGCTAACTCCCGAGTGATGTCACAGGCCAAGCGGCCGGTGACCCGGCTTTCGGAGAATATTGCCGAGTGCATGCGCGGTACTATTTCTTTAGTCGTGTAGGCGAGCTGCTGCCACGTTTTGGCCAACCTCTCTGAAATTTTGAAGTTGTATCTGACTACAAGAACAAAACGAATGTGTGTCTTGTTTTAGGTCTAGGTTTTAGGCCTGCAATTGCCACATAACTGTAGGTTGACTGCTTCACATTGCATGAATGACCACAGTGCATGGGGTCAGCTGGAATTGCCTTCTAGGCAAACGAAACTTTCTTTCACAAAACTAATTAATCATTGTTCTGGATCTAAAACCTGTGCCTAAAGCAAATTTAATCAAAAATAGTGAATGGTGAGTCAGCAAGTCAATGGTTTTACTCTTGTTATATTACTTCATATGTGATATGCTTCTTTGAAGGGGCCCTGCAACTCTTACAGCATTATCAGAAAACACTGCTAATCGGTGGTCCAGGCTTCTGAGAACACGTGAGCTAAATATGAAAGTGCAGCACACAGCCTGAAAATCACTATAAATTTTCAGTCAGCTGAAAATTGCTTTCTTTTCTCTCGACAAATGATACTACAAGCTCAAAAATTGCTTGTCACAGTATCGGCCATTGGCTTATTTTAGCATGACGCGACTGATCGTCACTGAAGTCGCCGCTGGAAGCAGCGGCTTGTCTGCATGTGAGTGCATGCTTGTGCGCAATTACACTGAAAAAGCCGCGTGTTCGGAGGGAAAAAAAAGTTAAGTGCTCATGGTCACGAAGCATGCATGATGTATCTTTCCCGTGCCATTTCTCCTTTTTAGCTTCCAGCAATTTCTTCGGGACAAGAGAAGACAGAATTTAATTGCAGCATGCGACAAATCTTTGTAACTCCTTTCTTATTTGATGGGTTCAAAAACTTTTTGCGGCATTCAACTCACGAGGCAATAAGCTCTTTTACTGAATCCATTGCATGGTTAATTGAAAAAGTGTTGCAGGGCCCCTTTAAGCTGTTAAAATTTTATTTCTGCCAGCTCTGTAACCAGAAATACATGAATAAAATAACCCAAGGACCTAATTATGTCTTGGTTTTGGGAGGATAAATTCTAACAATTATTATTATTATTACAACCAAAGGACTCCCTGCAAGAGTTTAAAAAAAAAACTAGACTGCAGCATGATTATCCTAGTGGTGCTACTAATCATGAAGTGTCACGGCGTAGGATATATGTATAAAAAAAATTTCCATTTTGTATAAAACTGTAGCGTAATACAGGTTTAATTTAATTAAGGTCAATGCAAAAAGTGTACGTTTGAAAGCCTACTTTGCACTTCAAAGCTGGAGAAGGCTATTGCGCGGGCACATTTATTGGCCATCAGTCAAGATTCAAGTTCGAATTTTATCTTGATTAAAGGGCTGCTAAGCACTCAGTTTAAGAGTGAATTTTCTCTATCTGTCAATCTACGCATCACAATCGTAGGTGTCTTGTTTATCGCTGAGCTTATTGACTGTAATCAGTTCAGTCCTGTTTGTGTAGCAGTGAGCATTCATTGTTTTATTAGAACCAAATTGATGGGAGCAAAAAAAAAAAAAATCCTGGAAACGTTAGACTTCATTGACATCTTCGTGCAATTATGTAATGAACTGCCTGTTTCAAAGGCAGCACACTACTTCTGAAAAGCACTCAATGGGCGCTTGTCAGTTGTAAGGCTCATGCAATGGAACTTTTTGTTCTCCCACAACACCTTACACCTTTTCACGAAGGAAGAGAACATTGCTCCAATTTCTGGAAAGGTCCACAGATGGGACACTAGGAATACTATTTATAAAGGTGGTACTTAGCCCTTTTGAGATATTGTTTGAGTAAATTAGTAGTATGACTGTCAAAAAGGAGTGGCTTGTATTATCTGCTTTAATTTGCTTTTGGCAATATTATTTCATTCATCAAATCGTTGTACATCGTGCAGGAGCAGCATTCAACCAGACCATCTATGATCTGTTCGGTGACCGCCAAATTGAGGACCTGTGGCTGCCGTACTTCACTGTCACAACAGACATTACCAGCAGCTGCATGCGCATCCATCGGCATGGTAAGCAAAAGGCTGTCCATTTTATATTTCGTGTTCAGGAGAATTGCTGAAGACTCGTTCAAAGGATTTCTGTATCCTTAGCCGAAGAGCTTGCTGGAATGCCAAATTGTATTTAATTTCTCCCAACATCCACAAAACTTAGCTGCAGCATTAAAGGGACACTAAAGACAAAAAAAAAGTTCCTCTTATTTATTAATTACTATTTTATAATACCAAAAACAGCATGTTTGTTGCAAAAAGATGCTTGGTAAGCGAGAAATCTTGCAAATAGAAAATGAGGTTAGTGATGCCACTTTGTAATACCCGCATCATAAACCATGATGTCATGAATTTTAAAATGTCTACTAGGATCTCGGTAGTTCTTAATAAGTTAAAATGTGGTAGGTTATCTTTCAAAGGCGCCAGCAATTTAAAATCTGTGACCTCACCATCGAAGATTTCAGTGGAGAATATAAAAGTGAAACTTATCAGCACGATTTTCACATTTCCTAATAAACCTAAGGCAGTGAAAGAAATGACAGTAGAGTTTCCAGAGCATAAATTATCTACCTAAACTAATTTATTGTTTCACTTTAGTGTCCCTTTAACAGATGACTGTTTACATCAGCCTTCACCACTTGCATTAACATTGTTTACAGTGAAACCTCAATTATGCATAGCATCATAAAAAAATTTATAATCCAGAAGTCACTTATACAGCAATAATACAAGTATGGTGGCTGGCACTGGGCAACAGTGATGCTAAGAAAAACTTCTGAATGTAATTGATCATATTTATATAATTGGCAGACGATATTTTCTTTACTGTTTGTACAGGCAAGACTTTTTAACTATTACCCCTTTGTTAAATAAAGGGGTGCTACTTACCCTTATATCTTACTCACTTTAATATACTATGTGTGTAATGGTTTCCAGAGTAGTTGATATCTTATCAAAGCTTTGAGTTTATTCACCTGTGGTAGTCTCTTTTTCTCCTTTGCCACCTATAACAGCATGTGGCCAGTGTTGGCAATAAGAGTGGCTTTTGGACATGCGAGCCAGAGACAGAGCACCTCTGAATAGCTTCCCAAGGTCTAAGAACAGACAAACGGAATCATTGCAAAAAGTGAGCTGATGTTCTGAGAAGAGCAGTTTTGTGGGAGAACAGTAAGCGACACATCTCATTGTTTAAAGTGTGCAGTGGCATTCAGCATGCACTGGCTGTCGCTGATCATATTGTGGCAGTGGTGCTTTGTTTGCTCTGCATATACACGAAGTGCCTAAATGCTTTATTTCATGTGCTGTCTTTTGTAAAAGATTGACATTCTAGCAAGCACATATATGCACCAGCATGATATCATACTTTGCGATTGGCACTGAGATTTTGTGCACAGTTGTGTTTCATGGGTTGTAATGCTGCTTATGACAGTGCACAAAGTGAACTTTTATCATGTGTCACAGTTGGGATAATTACTCAGACGCTTGTGATATGCAGTGGAAACAAGTCTTCCTAAATATATATAGACTACTTTGCCTAAGACATATGGGTGCCACCATCTTGGGCTGTTAAGCAGATGTTTTCTTGTTTTTGCATACAATAAACTCCCTTTAAGATGAACTCTGTTAATACAAACAACACGGGAGTGTTTGTTTAGTTTCCCATAGACTCAATGCAAAAAAAAAAAAAATCTTTTTAAGGCAAATCGTGTAACAGGCCTCTTCTGTTAAGACGAACAACTCTCCCAGCGACTAACAGCGACTGCATTCTGTGCAACAAACATTATACTCTTGATGGAGCATTCAGGCAAACAAGAAAAGCAATATAAAAAAACAAATAACTTCCTGTTACAAAGACCCAAATAAATATAAAGCAAATTGCGACATGGAGAGAGAAAGCGAGATAAGGGGAAAAGAGAGGTCAGCACATAAAAGTGGTATCTCTCTCACCTTTAGCCTGTTGGTGGAGAAAGCGCTGGCTTTATCAGCAAGGGAAGCAACAAAAAGTGTTCATCTTTTCATATTCTCCTCGCGTTCGCCAGTTTGCCAACAGGATTACAGTAGACAACAGAAGAACACAAGAGCTTAGCTTGAGGGAAAAACACAAATGAAGGAGGGATGAAAAAAGCCATATTAAAGTGAAAATTGGAACAAAGCTTTTGTGTACATTACCATCACATGAAACTGAAACCACATATGCGACACTAGCAATCACATTAGAGGAGTCGGATGCATTGTCATCACTGTCACACAATGGTGCCTGAGCGCATGCTGTGGTCAGTTTGCGTTGTTTTGCATAGGGCCTGTGCGCGTCATATCTGTTCCCAGTGAAATGCAGCAAATTCGGATGCGCCATTTTCGTTATGAAAGTGCACGACAAAGGAAGGTCATTTGCACACTATAGCTGCATCATGTCTTTTTTGTGTGCCCGAGGCTTGTGATCGTGAGTAGCGTAAATTGGGATCTTCAGCTGCATGTCGTTAAGGAAAAATTAAGTTACTGAAAATTAGAAAATATCCAAACCTCAAAAAAAAAAAGCTTGCAGACTTTTATAAGCAGCTTGGCATATATTGGGCTTTGTCAAGGTAGTGGTTTGCGATGGAGATGTATTCAAAAGTGGTAGCAAAGCCAGTAAAACAGCCTCTCAGAAGGTGAACAGCCAGAAAAATGAATTTTCTAATCTTTGGAGAAAAATTGTGCTTGTCTCTGCTTTTTTATCTTATTATAATTGTCAAAGTAGGGTCATGCTTCAGTTTTATTGTCAAAGTGTGGTAGCAATTTATTCATGAGCATTTTTATTGTGGGCCCGTCGCAGTGATCTAGTGGCTAAGTTAATCAGCTGCTGACCAGCAGGTCACGGAATCGAATCCCGGCTCTGGTGGCTGCATTTTTGGTGGAGGCGAAAATGCTGTAGGTTCGTGTGCTCAGATCTATCTGGGTGCACGTTAAAGAACCCCAGGTAGTCGAAATTTCCGGAGCCCTCCACTACGACATCTGTCATAAATATATGATGAATTTGGGATGTTAAACCCTACATATCAATCAGCATATTTATTGCGAAGTCATGAAATTGACTATTTGTTAGATTAGTGTAAATACTCTACTTTATGGCATAGTTTTGACCAAACTGAGTCAAATAAATTCTTTTTCTTGTTCCTTTCCTCTTCATTGTAAGTGCACTTCATGCAGTGTTTTCAAGCAGCATATTTGGGCATGGTTGGCATGTTAGTATTTGTTTTTTGGGGGAGGAACTACTGATAAGAGGAACTCCTGATAAGATAAACAAATGATCATGGCCCCTTAGAGTTCTTAAAAGGAGTTTACTGTAGTTTAAAGGTGAGTATGCTGCTTGATTTTCAGACTTTGACATTCCACTTTTTCTTATTGGGCTGCAAGTTCACTGAATGGTGCTGCACACTAACTAGCAAATGGCAGTTTAAATATCTTGTAAATTTTCACGACTGCGTGGTTACTTAGTTTTTTCGGCCTCTCGGTGCTCTGTCTAATCTTCTGCTAAAGTTTCCATGTATTGTGGTGTAAACCTTTGTCCTGATATAGCAATATTAGTAAAGGTAGAGCTGTAACATTCATTGCTATTGCAATGGTGTAGAAGATGCATGTTGTAATGCTAACGTTATGTGCCTGCAGCAAGTTTACATTATGTGTTTTAATAATCCTGTGAGGCTGTGTAATTGAATTAGCTCTATTTTTTTCTTTTTATTTTGTGGCAACACCCTTAAACTAATCTAGATAAAGGCTCTCGCACCTTTTCTTGAAATTCAATGATACTAGAGCTCTTTTATGTGTGCAGTTGGGCATGCACTGTAAATTGGGATGTCTCTTATAAAACTCACATTTAGTGATGTAATTAAGTCTTAAACAAGCCTTTTATAGCTTTTCTATCCGATTTTCATCATATATAAATGTTTTCTCGTACTTTAATATTGCTTTGATAACAGGTTATAACACATTTGAAGTTAGAGGTCAGTTCACTCATTCTCAGTTGCACTAATTTCAGCGAGAAATGGAGGCCACATACATTGCCCACTTGCAGTTTGAGTTTGAGTCATCAGTCAATCCAATTATATAGGCTCTAACCTTAAACCATGGTAACCTAACCATGCTAACCTTAATCCCAATAGGTCAGGGCACTCGCAAGGCGCGATCGACCACATAAAGTTAAGCTATGCGCTCATCGGTCCGCTGACCGCAACAGATATGTATCGGCGGAACGACCCAACTTCAAGAAAAAATTGCGTTGCCGAAGCCATGAACGCTTCGCAGGAAATCTCAACTGGAGCTGCAAGCGCATACTGCGTTTTCCGCGTACGAACACAGTCGACGTCCTCCGAATGCCGGCGTTGCCGGCGACCACGTTGGTCATCATAGCAACGGCACATAAGAACATTTTTCTGTCTTCAAGTTGCATTAGTTGTGTCGTCCCGGCGATAGATATCCGATGCTGTCGCCGGACCGATGGGCGTGCGTCGTTACTTTATCTGGTAGAATGCGCCTTGTAAGCGAGCCAAGATGTTGTGCCCTAAACCTTACCGTCATTGTAAAAAAAGGGGGGGGGGGGGAGGGGGTATAGTAGTCTTCAAAAGCTTATTGGCCTTCTTCTGACTCGTGCAGAACGCTGCTTAAACCACCTTCGCTGCAATACATCGGTTATCTGTGGAAAAGTGTAATATGATTTGGAAGGGGCTGTTAGCACAACTCACGGGACAGCAAATTTCGTTCAATTGCTCATGTGTGTATACCACCTCACATTTGTGAGCACTAGTATGATCACTGACGTCATAGAAAAGTTACTGGCAATCATTTGGAGCCGTATATGACAGTTCTGCCACCCTAAAAACAAAAAACAAGAAACTGTGCAATATTTGTTTTTTTTTTTTGCCACCCCTACTCCTCAGTTTCACAAATCCCTTTAATTTCAAAGTTGCCAGCTTAGCAGATCTACATTTTAGTTCACGGATTCTGTCAAAGGATTTGACAGACACGGCAAGTGCCAATGTGGACTT